TCTCACCTGAAGACAACTGCTTGTTGTTGCGATCAAAACTTCGTGATCTATTATTTATTTTCCTATCTACGTGACTTCACCGAAAGAACCAGAGAGTATGCATTCCTCCTGCAGTCACGAAAGCTTCTTGGAATGCTTAAAATAGGTGGCGAGTGTGCGGATACAAACATTATAATAATTAATTATTCGGTATGTTTTACTGTGGTTCCGCAGTGAGGGAGGGGAGGGGGGGGTGACGTTGCTATGCGTATTCCCAATTGAGCAATTTGCAGGTAACTTTTGAATTATTTGGCAAATTTGGACCAATTTGGACCCGGGCATGCAATTGGCCGCTCTTCACGGCCGCCGTCACGGGTTCTTCGACGCGCGTATTCTGCGGCTCAGTGCACGCGGGGCGTTAACCGGGGCGGCCCTGCTGCTGCCGGGGGGGGGTCGAACCCTCGGAACCTCTGCGACCCCCTGCCGCTGGGACTATGGCGGTACCGCCGCCGCCGCCGCGAATGCGCGGGCGGCGGCGGTGGTCACGAGAGCGGCCAATGGAGCGTCCGTTCTGCCAACACACGTGGGCTTCAACGTCCCCCAGTACGCACCGTGGCGAGGTGCTCGTGCCGATTCAATCTTCGGTTCTCTGTCCAAAGCTGTGTCCCTGGACCCAGGCTCCCTCAAATCCCATCTGATCCCACTGCCACCTCTCATGGCCACACTCCACATTAAGGGGCTCTTGAGAGTCATAAGCAAGGGTAGTTGAACCTGGTTCTCCCCCCTTGACTTCCTCAATGGTGTTTTTTTGGGTGAGATCAATCAAATTGATCTGGTAAGGTCAAGTTTAGCCAAATAGCTCCCACAACCCACACGGCGTAGGGTGGCCCTCATCCAGCAGTGGATAGGCGCTGCACATGTACTAATAATTATTTATCATTTACATTTATTTATAACCGTAATAGAGCCTATTGAGATAAACATATCTCTTCCAAAGGTCACCTGCGGCAAAACTGCAGTGAAGAGGTAACTGACAATGTTATTATTATATACATCATAAGCAATAAAACATTTCGAGAAATTTAACAAAAACTGAATAGTGCAAAGAGAAAGCATTGTTCGGATGCCTATATATCGACTTAGAGACATAAACAGTAACTCATGTTTGATTTAAAGCTTTCGTGACTGCAGTAATTCATATTCTTAGCTCTTTCGGTAAAGTCACAATGAAGGGAAACAATAAAATAATAAAATATATATAAAACAATAAAATGTATTGTTTCCCTTCAGCGTGACTTTACCAAAAGAGCTAAGAATATAGTAACTCATGTGTTAGTTTCCCTCGCTCCATGCAGGGTCGGTTTGTGTGATATTGCGACTAACCTATTTCTTTGCGAAATGTGTTCTTGAATTCACTCATATACGGGCTATGCGGTCGGACGTGGGGCCACATCGTGTGCCCTGTATGCCCGCGCTCGTCAGGCAGCTGTCTCGTGCAGTGCATTGTGGGATGGGTGACTGTGCGGCGCATGCCACCGGATTGCACTTTGTGTGCCATTTACTGGAACGCATCTACCGCGCAAAACGAGGGAAACCTGTATCGGGAACAAACGCAAATTGGAATCATCGTATTGACCCTTCGAAAGTGGGCGGGCGCGGACAGGACCCTTGATAGGAGGACGGCCGAAGTACGGAATATTTGATGCAATGTCAGCCGAATGTGAGAACGCACTGGAGAGGATGACCACCATCCAGATGGAGAAATGAGATCAACTCACGTGCAGGAGTAACACTGACTGTCACATCACCGGACCATTAGGAATGGCGATGGTAGGGGGAGGCACTTTATCCAGCCGTGGATAGATCACGGCTAATAATTTTGACGAACAAAAATAAATAATGCTGAAAATTACTGGCACGCTTCTCCACTCGCCGTTGCCTCTTTCCACCCAGCGGGCCGATTGCGGTCGCAGGAAAAGGAGGTACCCCGGCATCGTCCAGCCCATCTGGCTACTAAGGAGGAGCAGGGTTAGTGCCCTTGAGTTTATGGAGGCCCTCTGTAGTGTAGTAATTTCGCACAGGCCGAGACAATACGTTAACCAACAACGCAGCAGCTGCATTATTAATACAGTGATCACACCGCGAAAACAGCCAACGGTGATGACGTTTGTCCATGAGGCATGCGGTCGGGAATGCGTGTCATGTCAATGTGCCTTCGCTTTGTCGTTCGATTGCTGAACGAGGCGGCTCAATGGGGAAACTTCTCCGCGGCATTATGAGAGTCGTTCCTGTGTCCCGATCGTTAACTCTACGTGAGTAGGGGGGGCAGGGGCAGGGAGCCCAATCGCTCTTCCTCCCCTTACGCCGTGGGCACCAGGCCTGGGGCTTGTCGTCTGTGGAATTATTGTACCCTTTCCTCTATCGCTCGTGCATTGTAATGGGCCCTTGTAAAAAAAAAAAAGCCGTTCCTATGAGACACTCCCGTGAAAACTGCAGACGACTTGGGCGCGCTGCTCCAATTTGTGGTGTGCGTGCACCCTGCGTTAAAATGTTGGATGGGCGAGCGTTTAGCCATTGCCGTGAGCCAGCCAGTGAGCAAGCAAGCAAGCGAGTGCACCTGACTATGCCCGAGGCAAGAGACACTACGCAAAATACACACGTCTCCTTTCATTTCAGCGATTAAGTCCTGACTTATGAGTGGAGAATATTCATTTTTAATGGGCAAAGCTCTTCCCGAACTAATACTCTTTTATGTTTGGTAGTGATAAGTGTGTGTGTGTGTGCATTTGTAAATGGAGCGGTTGCATAATAGTAACGGCTCTGTACTTTGGTTTCTGCAAACCTGGGTTCAATTCCCATCTATGATCTACAAGTCCGGGGAGCGAATGTAATCTGTACCCTGGCTTGAACATCCCTCGGTCAACTTAGCCACAATGAATACCCAGGGCAATGTGTTCAATGTTGAGCACGGGAAAATTCGATAGAGCAAAGTGCAGCGTTGACCACACCAGCAACCAAATCCCTTGCGTGAGCACGCCGGACTTGACGCGTGTTCGCGAGCAGCACTTTGCCTCAACGGGCCTAAACTGCTCAAGTGAGATTTGGAGCTGTTTTTTTTTTTCTTTCTCCAAGGTGGTGTTGCAGCCAAAAAAAACAAAAACCAGAAAACCCACAGCCCCCTTTTGTCTTGCGTCTGCTCTGCATGAATTATGGTCGGGAAATAAATAAACCAACCCCATCCTCTCCCCCCCTGGGTGGCGGATGCAGCGGTTGCCGCCGAGATAAGCTGCGGCAATGCATTTACACCCTTTCAGGTGCCGTTGCCTGCGAGCTCTGCCGGGGAGCCCCATGGGCAGGGTAGGTGGGCAGACTCAGAAGCAAGACTCACTGACACCAAACTATACATTACTTAACTTTTTTTTTTTATCAGGTAAGGCCACACTGAGCTATATAGCTCTTTTTTCAGAAGCGACCTGGCCACAAACGATAACGCAACGCAGTGGCTTATCGCGTGGAAATTTACAGCAGGCCAAAATACTCCGAAAGCACGTTGAGATTCTAAATGTGGAGGGAAAAACCGGAGGGCCCGGAAAAGAAATCCACAAGACCGCGGGTAGAGAGAACACGCAAACTCCAAATATACAGGTATCGTCAGGTCGCGATCGCACCCACGACCACCTCTATACCAGGCGAGGTAGTTAACATCTCACCACCACGGCACCACACCAATTGCATGTGGCAAAACTACAGGCAGCTGTGCAGGCGTAACACAGCTAACAAGACTGAGAAATGTACGGCACCTATGGAGGCATGGAGGGCAGGCAAGACGTGTGGGGGGTAACACGGAAATCCCTCCATCTCCGTGCAATTTACACAATCCGCTTGGCTTCAATCAATTCCGCCCACCCCCCCCCTCACAATGTGCCCCCCCCCCAGTGACGCTGGCCCCGCACGCAGGCATTCACAACTTCGCCTATTCCAAGCCGCATTGCCCCATGCAGCTTTGAGCTCATTTCTTTCATTCATTTGCCACCGTTAATTCGTATTATATTTGTTGGTGCTTGTGTGCGCGCGGGTTGGCTTTGATGAGATCCGCCTCTGGGGCACCTGCAAGGCTGGTCCCGAGTTTGTATACCGCACTCAAACGATTAGAATACCAAGACCGCAACCAGATTTCCTGTTTGGACATTTTCACCATTGACAGCACAATCGTGTTGCGATTGCACTTGTGGACAAATTTCAGCCTTGACTTGGCACAAAACTTCCAGGCATTCATCTAGAAGTAATACTTTTGGAAGCTTTTATTTTTGTTATTCAGATCCATGCTCTTAGACTGGCTGCTTAGTTGGAGATGACTTGCTGTTATTGGAATATGCAAAACAAAGCACGCCGCTATTATACTAGAATCTCAAGCAAAAGTCATAAAGCAGCAGCAGCACACGAGACATATTGGCATATGTTAATGGTCCACCTGCTTGATTCAGAAGCCTTTGGCATTTTAAAGGCGTCCTTTGCTCAGGGGAAGCTATGGTTCATCTTATTGGCATATGGCAGCCAAAGTGATCCTTTCATGAGCAGACTGTAAACCAGGGAAGGGCACCCCATTGTGTTTTCAGTTTATGAATACGGTGTCACTGTGACTATAAAAAAAGGCCGCTTTGTTTTCAAGAGATGAATTGCAATTGCACAGCCTGCTGTGTACGTGACTGTGGCCACAATGGAGAGGTGCGTTGTACGCCAGCCGTGGCCGTAATGGTGCACCGTGCTGCTTTTGTTAGCCGCGGCTGTAGCGGCAGGTACAACGCGTACATAACTGTCGCCGCATTGCACAACGCACGACTTTCGCAGAACTGTGCAGCAGCGACGCTCAACGCACGGCCAACATCTCAAACGCGCCTCCGATGGACAACGGCGCTGCATCCATCAGCTGCGGCTGCACCGCACAACGCGCCGTGTACCTGACCGTGGCTGCTTCGGGCGACGCGGTGCGCGTGCGTGCGAGGGGGCCGTGCTCCACTCACCAGAGGCATTTTTCTGATAGCCGTTGGCGTCCACGGATGTGTACTGCACGTAGGGACCCGGTTGATTCACGCCGAACGGCTGGCGACAGGGGCAGGAGACGGGGACGCGCAGCGTAGGGGGTGTTGGGGGGACGGCAAGGGGAGGGGCAAGAGAATGGGGGTTAGAGAGGTCTCATCTCATTGGCACCTTCGGGCTCATTGCAGCCGCGCCGCAGCCAAGGTCACCGATGTCAGCTTTCCCGAGCAGGCAAAGCACATGAATAAGGATGCATATGTATGCACATGCGCGCGCACACGCACGGACGCACGGACGCACGTACTTTACGGGATTTGCATTATAATACAAACACCTCAAGGGGTAGGCTTCCAGGACTTAATGCTTTACCGACGTAATGTTTTGGGGTATTTTTAAGCGCCATTTTTACCCACTGAACAAGTGGTTGAACATAAGCGTCAATGACGGTGGTGATTTTCAAATACCAAGTATTGAGTACAGCTACCATATGAGACCAGTAATCCCAGAGTCCTTTGTAAATCCGCTTCTGGATTAAGGCCTCGCCATGCTGTGTCAGTCACGGGGGATGTTTGACCATACTTCACCACGATGGTGAAAGTGGACAGTGGTGGAGGCTGGGGGAGTGGGGGGGAGGGTGCCAGCAGCAGTTTAATAATTACTCGCCACTGATGTAAGCTGTGGCCGAGTATCTGATTGACATCTCTTATTCGTAGAGCGGTTTCTGATTCACAGTACACTGCACCACCACTCCAGCGCACACACACACACACACGGTAAAATACGTACGTAATGGCTAACAGGCAACACTGTGATGGGGGGCGCATAAAAGTGTGCGGAGGGTCCACGCACACCTTCACGTGTGAAGGCTGCCACCTGTCTGCCCAGGTGGCAGCCGCGGCTTGCGGTGAAGCTAGCCGCGGGTGACATCACCGCGGGTGGAAGCGATCGCTGCGAGGGGCTAATGCCGCACAGGTGGTGCACTCCATGCGGCCATTAATCCCCACTGGGGGTGGGCCCACCTCACTATTTCCGCCACTGTAAAAGCCAACACTCAGGTCCTTCATTCCCCGAAACAGCAACCTCGAAATTAAGGACGAAGGGAAAAAAATCCACGGTTTGAATTCTTATGACCGTTCGTTTGTTGCCCATTTACCGAGCCATTATTTTTCCAATCGGCCGATTACCTCACGAGGGTGAAATTTGTTCGAATTTGTTGGAAGAACCCGTTGTTAGAACCATTCACAGTCACCCGACACGGCCAAAACTCAATTCAGCAGTTGGAAAACAGCGTTTCACAATATACGTCGGTGTCAAGCGTCATCAGGACAAGATCCAGGAAGTCAGAAATAAAAGACCAGGAAGTCCGAATAACCAGTCAGATTTAAGCGAGATTTTAACCATTACAAATCATTTAATTCAAATTTAACTACGTGGCCCAACACAAATTCATCGATCAATTATATTGGCTGCAAAATCCTAAGGTATTTAACATCACTGGTAATGAGCAAATAACCAATATTGCTGAACGGAATCCAGCTGGATGGTGCAGCGGTAGAGTGCACGACTCGTAATCAAATCCCAGTCGGAGGGTGACTTATACCATCATCCCCCGGGGCCCATAAAATGAGTACCACTTCGTGGGCAAGCCGTAAATTGGCTGTGCTCTGGAGAGCCTCGACCCAACCAGAGAAATGTGGAATTTCGAACACTGGGCACGCAATCAGGTGATGAATGCCACCCCACGCTTGGCTGAAGCGGAAAGGACTCTGAACCGCGACTTCTCTGCCTTGCCTTTGGTCTTCCTTCCATGTTCAAAAGCCTTGCCACATTCACGCAACGCGTTATTTCTTCTAATCCTCACCTGGTGTGCAATTGGCGGCAACAGGTGCGCCTCCTGTCTCAAGCCATTCAAACCCAAGGCAACAAAAGAGCTGGGCCCAGAAAAGCAGAAATGAGCGGGCGGCACGGGGCTCGCTCGAGAGCCACCGCCGATCGGCGCGGCACCGCGCAAGATCGCCGCCACTTATCGAGCGGCCAGTGGCAGCGAGGCGATCCGATTACGTGCGCGGGCTCACATGCGGTGGCGTGCACGTCACGCCGAGCGACGGCGGCTGTGCACCACCCCCCCCCCGGACCGTTGTGCCCCCCCCCCCCCCCCCCCCCCCCCCCCCCCCCCCCCCCCCCCCCCCCCCCCCCCCCCCCCCCCCCCCCACTCGCTCCCAGGTTTTAGCTCGCGGCTCCCGGCCGGCGTTCTTATGCGAGGTGAGCGAGAGAAGCCGATCCATTATTTAGGGATTACACGTATCCCACTATAACACACACACGTGTTTGTGTGTGTGTGTGTGTGCGCGCGTTTGCATGGAGGAAGAGCGGTAGTGCAGTGGTGTAGCGGTTAGCGAGCTGCTGTGCTACGAACCTGGCGACCCGAGTTCGATTCCTGCTCACGGCCAACGCCACTGGCATTATCTGAACCGGTCCTGGGAATCCCCTAGGTCGACTCAGCCTTAAATGAGTACCTGGTGCGGCGTGGAAACATCGCTACTCGGGAAACAAATGCGGCCGTGCATCGTGGTGTACACCCACCCCCTTGTGCACTGTGCCGGCCTTCATAGGTGCTCCCTAACAGCACTTGCCCCAAAAGTATGTTACAGCTATACGGGGATCTTTGTCTTTAGTTTGTAGGAAGAGCGCTTTTCTCAGCTCGCCTTTTAAATTTGTTTTGCAATATATACGGCTCTCCTATCCCGTGATTGTTCACGGCAGGGACCTTTTGTTCTTTCCTTATTTCCCTCTCCAAAGCCAGGGGGCTTTAAGAATTCTGTTCTCGGAGCGGAGCGCAATCGTGCTCCACTGCACCCATCATGCAGTGCTCTCGAAACCCCATTGCATGAGCGACCACACAACCAGCAGGCACAAAAAGCGCCACCACACTCACCTGGGTGTGCGTTGGGCAGGAAGAAAAGCACAGCCCGCTGAGCACTGGAAAGGAAAATGAAAAGATGATGATTAGGGCATTAAAAAGTCAAATGTAGTGAAAGTGGCTTTACACATGGCATTGCTAATAGCAGCAGCAATTAGATTTTTTTTTAATTCCGAGCCTTCACCAAAATGACATCTCATAGAGATAATACCCTACGTTTTTCAAGTAAGACTTGCGAGAGCGTTTAAGTTTATACGCACGTTGAACTGCTTCCATGCCGTATGTAGCCACTCGTGCTATCCGTGCGGGGGAAGGACAATAAACTAAACACTAAAAGCAGTTCTCAATAAAATAGCTTTCAATCTACATTTAAAAGTTGCATAGCTTCGGCGGCTTCCTAATGTCGGAAGGAAGAGCGTTCCAGACGGCCGCAGAAGCGCATCTGAAAGCGCGCGACGCGGTGACAAGTCTTTTGTTCGATGGTTAGCCAAAAGCCGCCGTGAGCCAATGCAGCTTGGCGAGCATCACGAACAGAGAAATTCACAGACGGCGGAGCGGCGGCAAAAGCAAGCGAACAAATGGACACGCCCTTTGCGTCCCTTGACCTAACGATGCCCTACTGTTCTGGGATAAGCTGACCACGTTCAGGCGACAGTGCGAAGCATTGCGTAACACCCGCTCCTCCCCTTCTACAGATCCAAAAGCTCGCCTTTCTATGATACAAATCTAACCTGACCGTGTGCCTTGGAGAGATCGCACCCCCCCCCTTTGGCAAAGGACTTCAGCTGGAACCTTCTCAAAAGCACAGCGTAAAATAACACAATAATCTACTCCGCATGCGACGCCAGGGGGTCTGTTAAGCACACAGAGTTTGTCAGTCTGAGCCTGGCGATTGGTAATACCAATAAATCAACAATTTACATTGGTTATTGGCGTCCGAGTTATTTTTAGTTCCGCAGGAATATGCAATGGACAGTTGTACACTCTAGAAAGCTTTGCCCTTGTGGTCAATCCACTGCTGGATGAGGGTCTCCCCATGCCTCGTGCGCAGGTCACGGGGAGGGTGGTTTGACCTTGACCATGCTTGACACGCTGGTCAGTCGTGCGGCTTGGTGAAGGTGTGAAAGCGTGAATGTGAAAGCAAAGAAGGAGAGCACAACAAAGGATGTTTCTGGACTGCCGACGACGACCTGCTCACCCCCACCCCCTCAACACCGTTCATCAGGAACCCAAAGAGGTATAATATATATAAGCATATACGATAAAAAAATCATAGCTCTATAATAGACCGGCGCTATCCAGACGAACCCGCTCGGGTGTGACAGTAATGACACTCCCCGAGTGACCAATCTTGGATCAAGATTACTTTAAGGTGACACCACAGGCCACCAAAAATTTATGACACGTATAATCACGTTCTAAGAAAGGTTGGACCGGGACTTAAATGAAATAAGGCCTTCAGGAGTTTGTCACGAAGAGCTTTGGTGAAGGATCACGATGACCATCACCACCACCACCACCGCCGTCGACCATGACGAATTGTCCGCTGGGTGAAAGCCTCTCCCAAGTCACCACCGGTCCCTCATGGTCCCGTGATGTCGCAAGCCCACCTCGTTGCTGCGCGTGAGCTTAACTCATCGCTCCACTCCCCCCCCGTGGTGGCCATCCTGTCTGGTGTGTTCCCTCGCCTCCGGCTGCCAATCCATCAACAGCCTCCAACCAAACGGCCATCATCCTTTCTTGAGGTCTACCCACACAAGCCCGCTTGATTTTTGCTCAACAGTCCCACATGATGTCCCCCGATTTCGCTTTTGCATTTTAATCCGCGTGTTCCTCTTTTGCGTCTCTCAATTTAATTGCCAGCATGCACCTCTCCACGCATCTTTGCTTACTGGTCAGTGTTTATTCCATGGCTTTGTCAAGAGTCCAAGTTGCTACAATGCAAGTAGATACATTTATAAATGCGCAACTCTTATAATCGAGGCTGCAATGATTGAAAACAATAATCTGTCAATATATTTTAGTGAATGAATGATGAACAGATAGGAGGTGGTTTATCTCTCCAGGACAAAAAAATAATATATTTTTAAATCCTTTGGTTTAAAGCCATTCTGGACATATACTTTACAGCAGTAGCAACATTCACCTCAATAGGACAATGCTAAACTAGCTCTGACCTTCCAGGTCTCCTCGGCAGTCAGGACTCTAAGGGCTTTTGTTTAGAGCCTTTGTTTTTCATTAAACAAAAGCTATTCAGTAGCCCAATGCTCATGGAAAAAGCACTACATTTTAGCTATTGGGCTCGTCACCACAGAACGTGAACACTGTAAAATATCAGCACAAAACAACTCTGGTTTTGTACAAATATTCCCCTGCTGTGTAGGGGAGATAATTGCGGTTGTGCCGTACAGCCTCTGAGGAATGTCAGCTTCACACGGTACAACATAAAAATGCGTCGGAGAGCTAATTATTCCCCTCGTGACCTCTAAGTGCCTTCCAGGTGCAGCACAAGGTGATGTTCAGGTGGCGGTGAGAGAGGAGCGTGGGTGACATCGAGGCGGGCAGGCACGTGAATCAGCAGTCCTGCGGCGACCCGAGTGCACGTTGGCCGACTGCGGCGGCGAGAGAAGCGACGCAGGGATAACACGTCGGAAATATTCCACTCTGCCTCGTCTCTTATCGATTCTTGCGAATGTTGAAAATGGTTTTTAAAAAGCTAAAACTGAAAAGCGACAAAAAAATTCTGAAAGGAAAAAAAATCCTTTGTGCCATTTTTTATTCAGTCTTGATGTTGGCCTTTTGATAGGAATCATTTTTTTGACAGAGGCATTTTCTTTCTGCAGCAAAGCAGCATAATTCATAATCTCGGAGCATTTTCGCTTACTTTGTAAAACAAGGCAAGCCAACAAGTGTCTACGGATCAAAGTGTTATCCTACACTTGAGCTAATTTAATCGTGACAGATTTAATTTGCACACACACACACACACGTGTGTGTACATTCACAAGCATGCACAAGCAACGGTGCATTTGAACACCTAGCATTATTATCCTCAACGAATGTTTTTTTTTACACGATTTTATAAAAACAAACTTCTGAAATTTTTTGGAATTAAAGATCGCTCTGACAATCAAATTCACGAATTCACCATAATCCTGCAACAAAATACGTGCCTCAGTATTCGAGATGGTTGTAAAGTTAAAAAATCAGTCTTGTTCAATGTAATGTCCCCATTAAACACGTGTCCAAACTCACTCACAACTCAGCCCGTGCCTTACTCCTTACTCAAACCGCAACACACACACAGAGAGACCAAAAAACCCTGAAAATGTCACTCGAAAAAAATAACCATCTAACAAGATGGCCAGATATAAAATTCACAATACGGTTTTTTGAATCAGATCTTTCCAATGAAAGCCATACAAAGAGTGATCAAACCATTAAAGCCTTTTAATTTCATATTCTCTCTGTTCCTCTCCCGCTAGAGTCTAAGTAATTAAAAACGTACGCAACTCCTTGGCACTAGGTTTGATAAATTATTCATTGGCCATGCTCAGCGCCTCCTTAATAGTTGCACTCATTCTTGTAATGTTGTTTGGAGAATAGAGAGCATTGTTTAAATGTTGTTCTATATATATTCAAAAAAACGCGGAAACTTCTGATGCAAGATCACAAGGAGCACGGGGGTGGATGTAAGGTGAGGGCAGAGGAAATGGGCGGGGAAGGACTGGGAGGCAGTCACTCAGAGGTGCGAAAAGAGTGCCGGAATATTCTCATTTGATCGGACAGCCGAACTCAGAGCTGCAGGCCACCTTAGACACTGGAAAATTCAGGGAAGTGGAGAAGCATAAACGGGGCGTTCCATAAAGGCGCAAAGGTTAAAAGGTGGAGCACTGCAATAGCCCGATCACGCCACTGCTAGTAGAACGGCCTTCACGAGACGGCGTTCCAGAGAGGCGCTCTCGAGATGTGCGAGTAACCACACTTCACCCCACCACACGCGACCCGGCGACACCGCTGTGTAGACAGAGGTGGGGTGATTTAAGAAATTTCCTCCTTGATTTCAAATTCAGCGCCGGGAGATCGAACCGGTGAAACTCTTGATTGCAAGTCCAGGGTGCGAACTGTTACACCATGGCCATTTTCCAACAAAGGTATCATCATCATGGGACCTCCTTTGCCAGTACCAAAATATGAGAATAGGTTTTCCCCTTTTTTCTGGCAACAAAACAGGTGTTAAGATGTTAAAACACCAAACTGAAACCTTTAACAAGGAATCATGTCTGCATTAACCACAATACTTGTGGTCAGAATGCAAACAAAAACAACATACTCTGATAATATATGCATTGTCTTTGAAACTGATTGGTCCACACCAGAGACAGCTTTCTTTTGAGCCTCGTGTCAAAAGGTTTCAGTTTGCTGTTTCAACATCTTAAGACCTGTTTGTTGCCAGAAAAAAAGGGGGAAAACCTATTCGCAAAGGTATCATCAGTTATTAAATATATATGCGTGATTAAACAGCAGTTTGAGCTATGTCAGTAAGACCACGTCCACATGACGCACATTATTTTGAGATTTGAGAGTCCCAGGTGTCTTGCCAACATCGTGGCTGTGCTCGTTGTAAATGCTTCTGTTTAAACTGGGCAGGGCTGTCGTTGAAGAATAGTCATGAGACTCAGGGATGCTGTCTTGGGTCAACAGGGATAACAGTAGTGATATTACTAACACTGTGCTGTTGAAGGTTCCCCAAAATTCCCAGTAACAAAAATAAAATGCATGCATATGAGGAATATGTTGCCAACATTTTAACCGTGCAGTTCAATCTGATGGCGAATTAGAACTCGTACTTAACAGGTCAGAAACCATGGACGATGACGCCGAGGATGGAGTGAAGTTCAAAAGTGAGCAAAGCAGAATGGACAGATTCAGGCTTGAATTACATTGAGAGACAGAAAAGAATAAGACTTAAGTATGACTGTTTGGGTAAATAGGCTTTGGCAGGATTATGTTAAGTTTTCCATTTGTGAACATGATTTTTTTTTTTACGCTGCAGATG